AGGAATGCGATTATATGTCCAAAACTGTTAAACATAAAACAGTTCAGAGACTGACAAGTGAAGGTCCGCTTTCTTTCTAAAAACCAAAAAGACGATTAGATTCTGTCGAACATAAAGTTTTAAAAGGAGAATTCGAATTACTACTTAAGGCACGCATACGTAGACAACGCAATTCATCTATTGCTTCTCCATTGCGTTCGGTTCCCAAAGAGGGACCCAAAAACATACCCAAAAAGGGTTTCAAAAAGAGACCCAAATGAATGGCGGCCTTACGGAGATTTTAGGTGTTAAAATTGTATGACAATCTCACTATCGATTACCAGTTATTCAGGATATTAGTTTTAATTTTAGATACAAATTCATTTTCTCAAAACTACATTTAGTAAAGCCGTCAAATACCTATGGCTGCAGACGATATTTACAAAACAGCCATAACGACACGCTTCTGTTTATTTGAGTTTATTCGAAGATCTTTCGGATTAAGGGACACAGCGCAAACTATTTGTGAATGACGTATTTGAGGGTCTGTACATTACATTCCTGTAAACTTACACTAAAACTTTCTTATAGGACGATAACAATATTCAATCATTTCACCATACTAAAGATGCATTTGCCTCAAAGATTGTGTTAAATCGCTTTAAAAATAAGTCTGATTTATCTTTAACGGTTGGTGCTTCAAATACGCGTTTTTCTTTCCATGGGGCCCATCTGTAACGTGTATGTCACGTTCGATCCTGAATGTTCGGAAATGTATCTCAGCACTAAGCATTTTAGACATACCGTACCATTTTACCGTAACATCAAGAACTACTAGAACTATAAGGCAGGCCGTACACTAATAATATACTGTCAATTCACAAATGACATGCGATGCAAATGTAGCAAAAATAATGTAGTAGCAACTACTCTTTCGCGAGCGTTTCAATATAATGTTCTGAAATCTATAGATTTAAATCTTAAAGGTCTCCATGGTGAACAACCGTACAATGATGAGTCGCAAAGTTTATTTATTAAACAAATCAACAATTTAAAACTTTTGACAGTTCCAGTACTAAATTTTGAGAATATTTGTGAAAGTTCTGAACAATCGCCAAGATCATAGGTCCCTCCGACTTAAAGGAAAATAATCTTTGAAAAATTGTGCTATATATCATACCTTGATATGAGATCTACACGATGACTCATTGCAAGTAGATACTATTGGCCGTATATAACTTAAAAACTCAACGTCTGGGTCAGTCAATGTACACAATGTCAGAAATCAAAGATACGCCGAAATACTAAATAACTCCTTTCGCGGATTTCTATTGCCAGAGGCAGGTTTAGACACGTCCATGTGGATATGTTTGAACCTTTACCAACATCAAAGAGTCGTCGATATATATTGAGAATAGTAGATAAACTTTAGATAGATGCTGGCCAGAAAAACACGGCTTAAAAGATATAATAGTAATATATAATATGCTGATACCAGCATTTTCACGAGCGTGCCATTTGTTTGGCTTACATTTCTACTTATTTTGCGCGTAAGCGCGCTACGTTATGCATACGATTTATTTTAGATTATCTCTCCGTTAGTAAATTGGCAGACTGTAGAAAATATTTTACAATCTTATCGGAAACCAGAAGGGTTACTAGATTGGATAAAATATTAGCTAGTTTCGAACGTGATCGTCAGTCGACGGGCAACGATCATTATGACAGATAGATTTATAGAAAATGTGTAACATTTCCTCTCTCGCTCTGATTGTAACTGTTGTGGTGAATAGATGTAAGTTAAAAATCCGAAAACATCCGTGTAGAGAACTAACTTGAGCAGTCGCTTAGTGCAGGGACTCAGTGAGAATAGGAGGACTAAACTGTGGGACTGAGAGGTTAAGCTGTCATTTAGATAACAAATATACTTAAGAAATATACTGTAGGCTTCCTTCCCTAATAATTAATGAAATACAAAGAAGGATAAACTCAGGAGGGTAAGTCATATTTAGTTTCAAACAAATTGAACATCTCGATAGCCCGGTGTGTTAACCGCAACACTTAGCAACAAGATAAAAAAAATCCCCACAACGCAAAAATTTTCAGTCCTTATAAAAAAAGCATGTTTTTTCTAAATAAACATCGACAATTAAATAAGAAATATTTCTATGGGTTGTCTAAAATCGGCCATAGGAGAAGAATCTGTTACGCAAAATTCACATGTCAACACAAAAAAAAAAGAAGCGTTTTACATTTAATCTAATGAACATAGATTTTTCTGAAGGGGGCATAATGCAGTTTATCAAAATTCTCGGTTAAAAATTGTTATTCTTATAAGTTGTTGAAATTATTACAAGTTTACTTTTTAAGTTCATTTTTTTATTTCAGTTAGTTACAAATCGGAATTCAATAAAGACCAATAAAATGATTATGATTGAAAATTAGGCTTCATTTGAATGCTATAACTACTAGCTAAGGGCCTCTAACGTGCGCTGTTGGTCATATCCAAATAAGATAACGGAATACAGTTAACACGTTCTTCTTATATAATTCTGTTGCTCAGCTATAAATTTCTTATTGCTAAAGGTAAAGGAAAGAATTTTAACAAGAAATAAGAAAAAGTCTGGAAGCGGTTGGTGCATTGTTGAAATATTGAGCTTTCACGTATACATTGACAGAGTAATAGACAGAGGAAATTTAAATGTAACGAAACCAACACATTCGTGAGAGCGAGCTGCGCACAGAGAAGAAAAGCAAAACTTAACATTATAAGATATAATAAGCCGTAGTGAGTGAGGGCTGTCAATTGTTGTTTGGCCAAGACGAAACATGTCGCTTTAAGCTAATGTATTATTATTATTATTAATTTCGCCAGAGAAATAAATTCTAAGACTAAACTCTTAAAAGCACTAGCACCTAAGGCTATCGGCTTTTATTAAAAACTCTACCGCACTTGAGATTCAAACCCACGACCTTTGACTTGCTGGTCGAGATTCCTCGCTTTCGGCTACTCAGGCGGATAAGCTAATATAAAAATTGTAATTTGGTCTTAATTTAATTACGTATTACAAAAGCGTACAATACATAAGACTTTTCATAAACGGTTAATCTTCTAATTACTTATACTAACTAAACAAACGTAAGTAACGATGAAAATTATTAATAACGAACATTATTAAAAGAAATCCCATAAAAGTTTATTAAAACAAATAAATAAGCAAAAGAAAAAAAGAGTTGAAAATAAATCAAATAAATGCAACAATAATAAAAAACAAATTGAATTAAGGAACGAAAAGTAATTACAACAAAAGTTTTTAAAATTTAATATCAACAAGGAAATTTTCTAATCGCTGATATTTTGTAAAAAAGAAAGGAGAAAGAAGTTTCTTTTTAAATATTACGCAGTTGGAGACGAAAGTTAAAGTGCCTGAAACAAGTCGGAAAGCAGCCAGACGGGGGAATAACCTGCCCAATTATTATCATTGAAGAATAAATCCAGTAACAGGAATCATATATTGCCCATTTAAAAAACAAAGTTTTCTAAATAAAGGAAATCAAACAATGGGAACTCTCAAGTTGCCAACGGGGAAGAGTAGTGGCAATTTTCTTTTGATATCGTATGAGTGTGGAGGAGTTAGATAATTTGTTCCGCGGTTTAAATGTTAGTAAAAAAATACGAAAACACAATTAATGCGGATGAAGTCTTCGAAAATTATGACGGTAGTTCTAAACGTCTTTAGAAATAAAATCAAGGGTCCTGCAGACGCGATGTTGGCATCGTTCAACAAAATACTAAATTTTACAGCTATCATAGCTAGATTAGATTTTCCGTATGCTGACAAGCCTTATTTACTTGATTGAGCAAGAACTCAGTATCTTGCGACAGGGTGCACAAACGATCAATCAACTTTTTCACGATAAAGAAAATTATCAACGTAATGATTACGGTAATAATGACCAAGGAAACCACTGAGACCGAAAATGTCCACAGGAAGCTAGCTGAGGGCATGAGTTTTAAATTATTTAAAAAATTGTGGTTTGTTGACATAAACATTCTGTCAATGCGCGATCTATTCAAGTATGACTGGACGCTGTCACCGACAAACTTCAATGTTAATATTTTCCTTTGAAATAAGGGTTCAGGTATGTTTAGGGGATTTTTATCTAATACGATATAACTCGACCCCACTGCACATAATCAATTTTGCTGCGTTAGCAAAACGGTGCACGATCACATACTAATTCGTAAATGGTTCAAAATTTTGTACAATGATAATGGTAGAGTAAAGGTTAAATCAACTGTAAAAGCATTAAAAGACATTTTACTCAACCTTTATTTCAGTTTTAGTCCATAAAAAGTGTCTAAAATTCTTATCGATTGGTACGCTTTAAAAAAAGCATAAAGTGCATAGAGTAAGTCATGTGTAACTAAACGCAAATTAAAATTGAACAAGATCTAAAAATATGTTTACACAAATCAATTTTTTAAATAATAAAACTTTATTTCTCCCGAATCCTCCTTTTTCAGATGTATGCACCGAGTAGCCCCCATATGATCCGCATTAGAGTAGAAAAGGCTCAGTGTGAACGTTCCATGAATGCAACTAGCTCAAACTCGATCGAGTTGGACGATTGATCACGAATATGTGCGTGACCGCTTTTTCTATGTCTACCTATTTTACAATTTCGATAAATAATTTTATTTACAATATGCCAAGCAGCCAAAGAGCTTATATTTGATCTGAAGAACGAGTGATCCACACAACTCGAAGCAGTGACGAAGTGCCCCCGCCCTTGTTTAACAAAGTCAGCATTTTCCAAACTCATTCCAAAAAGGTAAAAATATGAAACAACTGATGAATACTATACAAAATACTGTTTACTGATGTCATATACAATACTAATTGGTGCTATACATAGAAAACGTGCTCTATTTGTACATTTATATAAAATAGTTGGAGAGAGAGACGTGTCTGTTCATAGATAAATTTTATGTCGCGTGCAGTAAACGTGATGTAGGGCTAAAAATCTGCTTCGCGTGCTACGTTATTCCATAAGTGGCTTTTAGTTTTACCGTTCATTTTGTCTTGTTTCGTTATGGGCTCTAAGTGAGCAGCATCTACAATATCTCTATAATATCGATAAACATTAACATCTCTTTATGGTCAATTTCACACTTATGCTAACTTACTTAAATTCCGTATAAGTTTTTGTGTAATGCACCGCGCGTAATTTAGCATCATTCTTCAAGGTTCGTAATTCTCCTGCCCTTAAAACGTCCAAACTTTGTTTATATAAACTCTGCAATTCCTCTGGACTTATTTTTTCATTTAAATTGGATGGAAACATTTTCCGTTTTCTTTTTTTGGATATCGAAAAGTACTGAGTGCTGAATAGTGTCAAATTAGAAACGGTTGCCAAGAAAAAAAATTAGTTTACTATCAATGGAAAATCGATCAACTTTGGTAAGTTGTTGTTTTGAAAACAATGTAGCAAGATGTATCGTTTTATTGAAATACTACGCAATATGCAGAAGAAACTTTAAATTAACGAATTTTTTTATAAATAACATTTTTTGAAATTTCTGGCGCTATTTTTAGATATCCTTTTCTAAGAAATACTAATTAAAAAATGGAGAAGAAATTAATGTACATTAAAGTCAGCTGACTTGCAAGAGTTTTCTTCAAAATATATTAATAAAAAGATTTGTAAAGGCTTTTAATATTTTACCTTAAAATTTGTTTTCAACCTTCTAAAAAAATTCACCACGTGAGGGCTATATTTCCCTAAAATATAGCGTACTTTTCTGAGTGGTTCGAAAAGCTGGCGTCTGCAAAATATTTCGCTAGTTGGAAGGATATTATCTTTCTCACTTCTATATACGATCAACGGATATGCTTAAAAATTTGATTATATCCATTTAAAAGCAAAAACAGACACAGCAAAAGTGACATATTCTACTAAAAACTCTTTGAAAATTTTGAGCTTAAAATGGCTATTTTTGCTTTTATAAAAAAGGGGTACGGGGATATATTTGCTACTATAAAATACAAGTCAATAGCACATTTCCAAACTTTCAAGGCTTTTATCTGAGATATCCGGTTGTTCAAAACGTCACTTAAAGCAAAAGTTTCCATTGCTTTCATTAGAATTTACAATGTGCTTGCAAGTATTTTCATCATTTTTAATGGTACAATATATTGTTATGAAATTCGCTTTTATGAGATACAGTCCGTATCACTAGATCGTAGATATTTTGATCAAGAAAAATACACTTCAAAGTTCTTTTTCTTTACAATTATATTTGTTTTAATGTAGGATTATTTACAAATTATTTTTGGCAATACTTTCGACTGCTTAACTCAAATACTCTTTTTCTACTCTTTTGGTCTTTCACAAATATTCTATTGATTTTTGCCATCCTATTACTAGCACCTAATTTTATGACTTGATATTTAATTCGTTAACCTGCTTTTGTTGGTAACCGTTTTCATCGGCATGCAGCTGCATGAGGCGCCTGCGAATGTGCACTCTGCTTTTACCTGTCTGTTTTTCCACTAATCGCTTTCATCGATTTGCAGCTGCATGACGCCTAGCGAATGTAAACTACCCTCCACTTAATCTTGTTCGTCCCGAACAAGGTCGTTTCGATATGCGGTCAGTCGGTCCAGGTGTACCACTTTGAATCTAGTTCTGCCTCCGGGATGCTTTCGTATTCGGTAGACCACGTCACTTATCCTTGTGATGATTTTGTACGGACCTTCCCAGTTACATTGCAGTTTTGGTGACATACCCTTTTTACGTAAAGGATTGTACAATAGCACTAAATCCCCTTCCTTAAATCCCTCAGCATTAGCCCTCAGATCGTATCTTGCTTTCATCCTGTCACTTACGATTTGCGTTCTATTTCGAACTTGCCGGTGCATGTTATCCAATTTCACTCTCAATCTAGCAACATATTCCGTCTCGGTCCTTTGGACATTAGGCGGTGTCCCGAATTTTAAGTCTGCTGGTAGCCGCAGATTAGACCCGAACAAAATCTGCGCCGGGGGTAGAGCAGTGGTGTTGTGCACTGCCGACCTGTATGCCACTAAAAAGATTGGTATGTGTTCATCCCAGTCCTGCTTATTGTCATCGATCACTTTTCGCAGATGTTCTTGGAGCGTTCGATTAAACCTTTCGACCATTCCGTCAGACTGAGGATGCAACAGAGTCGTTCTAGTTTTATTAATGCCAAATATTTGGCAAACGTCTTGAAAGATCGAAGATTCAAAATTCCTTCCTTGGTCTGAATGCAGCTCGATGGGGGTTCCAATTATTGACGAATACTTTGGCTATTGACTTTGCTTCTTGGTTAGCTAAGTGGTATACTTCTGACCATTTACTGAAGTAATCAATGACTACCAGTACGTATTTTTTCCTGCATTGCTGGCTGGAAATGGCCCAGCAATATCCATTGCGATTCTCTCAAACGGTGCACCCACGTTATACTGCTGCAAGCGCTCTCGCGGCTTACTTTTCGGGCGTCTTGATTTGCTGCATCGATCGCAGTTGCGAATCCATGCAACTATGGAATCCTTGATGCCTACCCAATAAAAATTTTCCTTGATCTTCTCCACGGTTTTTGTGATGCCAAGATGCCCTCCGCTTGGCCCATCGTGATACTCCCTTATAATTTCATGAGTTCTTGCATGTGGGGCCACCAGTAATTTCTTAGCCCATGAAGCATCTTCACTCTGCCATATGCGCCACAAGCATCCATCTTCAAGGGCGAGGCTTTGCCACTGAGCCCAATACGCCTTCGTAATTGGCCTTTCTCTTGAAATCTCTTCCCAGGTAGGACGCCCTTCCTTTTCTAAGGCCTTTAATATTGCGTTTTTAATCTTTGTCAGCCATTTGGGCACTGCGCATGTCTTCCTTCGAAACGCTGCCGTTGGGCTCCACGATAGTTCGGCAGATGACGACATCTCTTTTATGTTCGTTTTTTACGCAGTGTTTGCAGTGCGGGTCGCATGGTCGTCTGGACATAGCATCGGCATTGCCATGCGATTTGCCGCTCCGGTGTGAAATCGAGAATTGATAGGTTTGCAGTTTTTCAATCCACCTTGCTAGCTGTCCTTCTGGTTCTTTGAAGTTGAGTAACCATCGCAGAGCAGCATTATCTGTCCTTAGGTGAAATTGTTGCCCATACAGATATTTGTGGAAGTGCTTGATCGATTGCGTTATTGCCAGCAGTTCTTGCTTGCTGTAATATGCTATGACTTTTTCGTTACCGTCAATTTGCTGGGAGAGCACACTGCCCAAGCCTTCTGCGCTTGCATCGGTATCCAGTATGAATTTCTCTTCCGGTACTGGATAAACTAGAATGGGTGCTGCGCATAACAGCTCTTTTAACTGCCTGAACGCGTGTTCTTGGGATTCACCCCATGTAAAGGGTTGATTTTTCTTCGTAAGGTCATGCAGTCCGCTAGCAACCGTGGCGAACCTGGGGACGAATCTGCGGTAGTATGTACATAGTCCTAGGAAACTGCGAACTTTGTGCAAATTGTTTGGTCGTGGCCATTCTTTTACTGCTCGGATTTTTTCTTCATCCGTATGAATTCCAGTCGTGGAGATCTTGTGCCCAAGATATGTCACTTCCTTCCCAAAGAACATACATTTTTCGATACTCAGTTTTAAACATGCTGTCTGTAATCTGTGAAAACCATTTGCCAGATTTTCTAGGTGTTCCTTGAAATTTTTATCCATGACAATGATGTCATCCAGATACACCAGGCATGTCTTCCAGTGCAACCCTTTTAGCACGCAGTCCATTAGGCGCTCGAATGTGGCTGGCGCGTTGCATAATCCAAACGGCATTACAGTAAACTGATATAAACCCTCGCCAGCGGAGAATGCGGTCTTTTCCTTGTCATGTTCGGCGACCTCCACCTGCCAGTACCCACACTTCAAATCTAAGGTTGAGAACCATTGCGAACCTGACAAGGTGTCTAGGGTGTCATCGATCCTAGGCAAAGGGTAGCTATCTCTCTTGGTTACTTCGTTCAGCTTCCTGTAATCCACACAAAATCTGGTAGATCAATCTTTTTTTTTAACAAGGACTACTGGCGAACACCAAGGGCTATTCGATGGTTCGATAACTTTCTGCTCTTGCATGTCTTCGATTAAGTCCGCCACTTCTCCTCTTTTTGCCAGTAGAATTCTTCTAGGCCGTTGCCGAATCGGATCAGCTCCTACAGTGTTAATTATATGCTTCGCTGCATTAGTACGGCCATTTAAATTCGTACCGTCAGCAAAGATGGACCAATTTTCCAGCAAAAACTTTTTGGCATATTTCTTCTGCTGCTCATCCAGATTGCTAGTCCATCCTTTTATGAGAATTTCAGCCTCTGGGGATACCGTTGGGCGTGTTTTCGGAGTTTCGGCTTGATGATCTACTACATATTCGGCTTTTTGGCATTGTACTATAATGTCCCCTTTGTGAATTTTTGTTGTAACGCTGGTCGGGTTTAATAGCCGTACTGGTATTAAATTGTTGACTGGTGATACAACCGGTTTTCCAATGATAATGTTTTCTTTCGTATGTTCTTTACTCGGCTCGACAACCCATGTCTTGTTTAGCCTTAGCTCCTCGGTAGCCGCGGCCCACTCTATTGCTTCGGAATTTGGAGGGATCTTCTGTTGTCGTTGTACTACAACTTGTAACACTTCGGCTTGTCTGTCGTATCTTACAGTCAACGGCAAAGTCACATTAGCGTATTGTAACACTTGCCTTTTCATATCCAGTACGAAGCCATGTTTTGCCATAAAATCCATCCCCAATATTACTTCGTCCATTATATCTGCCACCAGAAATTCATGCTTCATTGAAACGTCGCTAATCGAAATGTTTCTGCTATTCAGCTTCCTCACCAGTTGCCGTTCGGAATCGTGCTCCCACTAACGGGTCAAATTTTTCTTTGACGATTGTAGTGTTGATAATTGAATGCGAAGCACCAGTGTCCACCGTGATGATGTGTTCACAGCCCTGGATCTTCCCATCGATCGTTAGGCTGCTATTACTTCTTTTTGCCTGAGTAATAATGACGATAGGGCTACTAAATTTTTGAGTCAGCCGTTGCCCTGCTGTGCTGACTCTTTTTAGTTTAACGTCTGTTTGTTGGATATTTCGCTGGCACCTTCACTAAAATTCCGTGTAGGTGACGTGGAGTGTGCTGTTTTGTGCTTTAATCGGCATTTCCGTGCAAAATGCCCCGGTTTTTGGCAAACATAACACTTGCGTGTTCTTGAACCCCACACTTGCTTATTACTGCGCGGGACTTGTCGACACGCCGCGCAGAACACATCCAAATTATCGTTCTCGCTGGTAACTTCCGTGCGTCTCACCTTCATGCTTGGTGTCCATAGCACACTAGCTGCTTCTTGTGTAAGTGCGAAGCCAAGCGTTTCCGTGAACGTCGTTTTAGGTGATGTCCATATAGCTCTTTTAAGCTCCGCGTCACGAAGTCCTCTAACAAAAGCGTCGATTTTTAATCATTCCAGCACGTCGTTGGGCATTCCGATATAAGCGAGATTGGCCAGGCGTTCGATATCGGTAGCGTAATCTTGGATCCTTTCATTCAGTTTCTGGTAGCGCGAAGACAACTCTAGATGGCTTACCTTCTTCACATGTTTGCTACCATATTTCCTTTCGAAGGCATCCATAATTTCCGCGAATTCCGTTCTTTTTCCTTCCGGGATTATCTGGATAATTTCCATTGCTGCTCCTCTTAAGGAAGTTACTAAGGCGACTGCTTTATCTTCATCATCCCACATATTTTTTGTTGCAACAATACCAAATTGTAGCTTGAATGCGTCGAAGTTAGCGGTGCCGTCAAATACGGGTGTTTTTACTTTGATAGAGCTGGTGGTTATGTCGTTAGTTTGTAGTTTAGCCACTTCTTTTTTTAAGGTTTTTATTTCCTTTTTGAAGGCGTCTGCATTCTCTTCCTGTGCAGTTATTCTGGCATTCAATTGCACGTGTGTTTCGTCTATATGTGTTTTCAGGATGCGTTGATTTTCTTGTATTTTCTCGTCGATTTTTGATTCTATCTGTTCCGTCTGTTGTTGCATTTGTTGTTGTTTTTCCTGTATTTTTTCGTCAATTCTTGATTCTATCTGTTCCGTTTGTTGTTGCATTTTTTGCTGCATTTGTTGTTGCATTTGTTCCGTTTGTTGTTGCATTTGTTGTTGATTTTCCGTTTGTTGTTGCATTTGTTGCGTTTGTTGTTGCAGTTTTTGTCGCGTTTGTTGTTGATTTTCCGTTTGTTGCTGCATTTGTTGTTGCATTTGTTTCATTTGTTGTTGCAGTTGTTGTTGCATTTGTTGTTGATTTTCCTGTATTTGCTCGCCAATTTTTGATTCTATCCGTTCCGTTTGTTGTTGATTTTGTTGTTGCCATTGTTGTAAAAACTGCATAATGCTTGACATACTTGTACTATCTTCGCCTTTTTCTTTGCTATGTTTTACCCCTGCTGTAGCTGCATTTTCTGCAGCTACCAAGTTGTCGGCTTGCTCCTTTCCCTCGGTATTATATTCGAATTCAAGTATCGATGGGTCCAGTCCGCCTTTTTCTAGCTGTTCGACCAGTCTTTTTTTCAATTCAGCTTTAGTACCGGTTGTACGAAGGCTTCTTTTTCCCAGCTCTTGTTTGAGCTGCTCCACTTTGAGTTCTTCTAATCTCTTCTAATCGCTTTTATGAGATACAGTCCGTATCACTAGATCGTAGATATTTTGATCAAGAGAAATACACTTCAAAGTTCTTTTTCTTTACAATTATATTTCTTTTAATGTAGAATTATTTACAAATTATTTTTGGCAATACTTTCGACTGCTTAACTCAAATACTCTCTTTCTACTCTTTTTGTCTTTCACAAATATCCTATTTATATACATTTTTGCCATTACTAGCACTTAATTTTATGACTTGATATTTAATTCGTTAACCTGCTTTTGTTGGTAACCGTTTTCATCGGCATGCAGGTGCATGAGGCGCCTGCGAATGTGCACTCTGCTTTTACCTGTCTGTTTCGCTTTCATCGATCTGCAGCTGCATGACGCCTAGCGAATGTAAATTTGGTTGTAGAAAATGAATAGATTTGGGATTTCCGTAACAATATTATAATTAAGATATTTTCGATAATTTTCTAGAACTTTTTGATATTTTAATATCAACAATTAAGATCAATATTCAATTTAATTTGCGCGGGTATATCAAATATCGGGAACATTTGCTTTTCCAAATTGATAACAGACATCTTTGCCAAATTTCACATAGTCAACGTTGCGCTAAATTCTGCTGTGTCAAATGAAACTTTTTTGCGAAAACGTTAGAATGGCTTGAAGACAAGGAGCGCCCCTGGTGGTCATCAAACTGTACCGAGGATGATGTTCATAAAGAACCGATTAACAATTTCCCTGGTGATGCTGATGGCTTTTCAAACGGACTAGTCAACGGCATTTTAAATAGTATTTTAGGCGAAACCCGTCAAATCTCGATTGGTACCACAATCACATAATTTCTGCATTGGTTCTTCGAAACCATTTCGGTTAAAATTCAACCGATGTCGTTCTCAAACCAACCGTGTTCATGTGTTTTAATCCCATGTGACTTCTAGCTATTTTCTAAACCTAAAAGTCCACTCCGGAGCGAAATCCTACAAAGCTTAGAAGGCCATTCGGAAATTGGACCATTCCGTAACTATTCTATACCATTACTTTTTCGAGGATAGGAAAAAACCTTGGCATAAGTGTATAGTATCTGAGGGGGCCAACTTTGACGAGGACGAAATAGACTTGTAAGCAGATTTCAAAAAACTAAATTAATAGTAAAGATTGAAAAATTCATCGGTTGTAGGGAATTTTCTTTATCTTCTTCCTGTATACGTAAGTTAGAATGTCCGGCTACCCACGCATACAAAACCCATGCCGCCTTAACGTTCGCCAAACTAATGAAACTTTCTAAAGAATAATGAGCTACTCACCTAAACCTTACCCTATACCTAGCTAGACTGTTCATCTTCCTGTCTAACTTGTAAATTTCTAAGTTTAGTCTTATCCTCCCTGCCCCAAACGGCTCCTTGCTTTTATTTTTTACGCGGATATTTTCGGATTCCCTAACTCAGGTCCACGACCTTTCCTTGAAACTTATCTGTCATAGTCTGCGTTGCCCATTGACTGACAGTCACTTCGGAAACCAGCTGACATATTTTCGAATGTCATAACCTCTGTGATTTCCTGTCGACATTTCTTACAATCTGCTAGTTTACTAAAAGCATATATTTATAGGTATATTTACCAAGAATAAGAAAAATATGTGTATATGAAGAGGATGAACAAACTGAATTATGCAAAATGGTGAAGCAATATATATGTGTGAAAATAAATATGAGATATGAGAAGTAGATGCCTCTGTCTGCTGCTAATACTAATAATATGATAAGGTATATATATATACACATATGTCAATATTGAGAAATATGTATGTGAGGGCGTAAGACAATACTATATGGAAACCAGTAATAAAAAAAGTGTATATATTGTGAGGAGTCAAAGTCGTCCCTCGTTTTGACCTTACATGCTCTCGTTTCAGAGGAGAAAGTGTTAGAGTTAAGGTAGTGTTAAGATTGAATTGTTATAATAAGTTGACATGACCGATGATGGGTTTAGAGAAACCCAATCAGAAAAGAAATGAACTCGATTACTCAGTATGATACAAATTTATTCGAAGAAAAATCAATGTAAGCTAAGTTGAATAACATCCAAGTACACTGAAGGAAGATATAGTGAAAGGCACCTTAATAAAACTTTAATTGATTTTCAATAAATAAATATATTATTCAAAATTTAGAATATATAACATACATGCTATGAATTAAATAATACCTAATCAAACTAATCCGCATATAATAATTAATGTGAAACAATGGAAAATATATCATAATAAAATAAATCCAACTTGAAAAAAAAAAAAAATAATAGTAGACAAAATAATAAATAAAATATGCTTCTATTGCCCATCGAGAATGTGTTCAAGAATCTTGTTCTGCCCTTCTCTTACTTTTTTCGAAGGTTAAAAAACAAAAACATACCAGAACGTAACAACCTAAATTTCAGGTCTCGAATAGATTCTTAGCATCTTATAGTAGCACCCACTGAACTATTTAACCATAGTCAAATCTCACACACCCAGATCTAACAAATAGTTATAATCTTCCGAGAAGGGCGTTCAGAGTTAATTAGTGAAGTCATCCAGAAGGAATAATAAATGAACATGACTTTCAACGATTTAGAAACTGAAAATATGTAGCGTGTCCAAACTCTTTCGGAACTTATTAAATCGAGAGCGTTTTTGCGTAAAGTTAGTCTGATCGAAAGTAAGGTAGAGAAACCCAATCAGAAAACAGCCGCCTTCTAATTGGAATATGCTTAGGTTATCAAAAAACAACCTTGAAGGAAGGCCGAGTCGGGTGAATTTCATAATTATTTGAGTCGAGAGACCGATAATTTCCGTCTTGTGACCTCTCTTGGGTACCGTGCAGCCAAACAAGTAACAGGTTTTTCTATTCTTATTATTATTATTATTATTTTAATTTTAGACTAATGAATTGAATTCTTAGACTAAAAAAAGAGACATTGAGCACTAGCAACACAGACTATCGGCTCTTATTAATATTTTTATTTTTAATTCATTGTTGTTTTTTTTTTTTTCAATAAACAATAAAGTGCTCATTTAGTAACAAAACGACTAAATCTCCCTACAAAATTTCTTGTGTGAAATAACTGGTGACCGACGAGCTGACCCCGATACCAAAGCTACGGCAACAAGTTGCCTCACAATATATAGAAAACAAACTGAACTAACTGCGGCACTAAAATGACCCTGGGACTTTGATCCTCACATACTTTTTGAACATAGTAGTATATATATATTTCCTCTGAAAACTCAGTCCAATGGCAAAAAGAGTGTTGACGCTTTTTTACTTGTTTGACGCTTCTTGAGATAACCTGACAGGATTGAAAGTATCCCGCAGCGCCTTTTTGTATCTCATAGCATTTCTCTATCGAAAAGCTTAATTCTCTTCCATCAAATGGTATAAGATTACGAGTCGAAGCCTTCTGTCTAATACTTATATATTGATTAATACAAAACGGTTTTTATTAATATTTGACGATAAATTACTTACCTACTATAAATTGAAAAAATGTTTTTTTTTTTTGACAAAAGAAAAAGCTTTACTCTCTTGAAATTTTGGTTCCTTTGACTACTTAAACTCAGCCTCTAACTTTTTTGATTCAAAATTTTTTGGGTTACTTTGTTATTTGTTTGGCTTGATTCAGCCGTTTGTAAGTAGACAATTTTGTTGGGAATTTACTTTGTCTTCAGTTTGCAGATTGTTTTTTCTTATAAACAGTGATATGTTGTTACACAAATCAGTAGGCCAGTAGGATCCTTAATTAAGGAATTTATCCCTCGAGATCGTCCCCGTAATACCAAGGCAATAGTCTTGTCGCCTTAAAAAAACTAATTGTTTCTTCAGGCCCACTATGTCTCATTTATCAAAATGTTAGGGTCCTAAATTCGAAACTTCGTTCCACTTTTCTAAATTCAGTGAGCACGAAATTTTTCTGTTTGGCCTTTACTGAAACTTGGCTAAAACCCGATCTTCATTCGTCGGAACTTTTTCATAATTCTTTCCAAGTGTTTAGAAATGATCGAGTGAATCGCATTGGCGGTGGTGTATTAATTGCCATATCTGCGTCAGTCCCGTCCAACT